CCCCAAAACCCCAAAACCCCAAAACCCCGAAATCTCTAATCTGATTAACTATAAGTAATTTAATTAATAAATCAATGTATATTTCTAGACCTACTTAATCAAGCCTTAACCTCTTCCTCTTTAATGAACTACTTTTCTACCTTCTCCAATAGATTCTTTTGCTCTTGTTAGATTTTAGCTCTATCTTCTGCTCTGGGTTACATTCTTACTAGCCTATTACACTCAGTTTAGAGATCACTCTTGCTGACTCTTCCTTTTATCTTGATATATCTAGCGACTGCATCGAATTCTTGTTGAGTAATATGAATGAACTTTCCTCTATCATCAGTGATACCTGAGATCCTGCCAGTCTCCATAAGCCTTTATATTCTATCAATTATATCCTTTGTGCTAAGAGAAAACTCAGCAGCTAAGTCTTCAAATAGAACTACTTTTCTGATTTCAATGAACTCAATAAATTATTGCAATTTGTTCTCATACTCTTCGCCTTCTTCTTCATTGGTGCCTGCTTCCTCTACTGCGAACATTTCTTTCCATTTATTATACTCTTCTTGCTCTTTTTTCTCCTCCTCCTCTTTTTTCTTTCTCTCCTCTTCAAGTTTCAACTCTTCCTCAAACTTTCTCTTATTTTCTATTTCTTCTTCTTTATGCTCCTGCTCAAGTCTTCTTTATTACTCAGCTTCTCTTTGTTGCTTCATGGCATCCTTCATCTTTTCCTTTTCATGCTTCTTCTACAATTTCTAAATTTCCTTTTTAGTCAGCTTGGCATCTAATTATTATATATAATTTCCATTAATATTTTACCTGGATCATTGAGTTGCTACTCGATGAGTTCAAGTTGATTTGGAGGTTATTACTTTTCCTCTTCACCCTGATCATCATCTGAATCTTCTCTTCTGCGATTTCTTTACAATCTCTATGCCATTCTATTTCCTCTTCCCTAAATCTATACTTCTTCATTTCCACCTCGCTATCTTTAAGCTGGATCTTCTTTTAAGTCCTTTTTATCTTATTCATCCTCTGGTTGATTATTTTGATTTCTCTATTTAAGTAATTACTAAATATGAATTATTACAATAAAGAAAAAGTAGTATAGCACTCCAATAGAGATTAGACTAAGTGATATAAACACAATAAAAGACATTATTCCAATTAATTTATAATAATTTCACAATTTTATTAATTTTTGCTAGATGGGGTTTTGGGGTTTTGGGGGGATCGGAAGAGCACACGTCTGAACTC